TTTACCACGGTTATTTGAGTTATTTGCTTTCTAGAAAAAGAAAGTGGACATTAATTCGTGGAGAAAAATAATGAGTTTAATGAATGGTGCGAATGTTTCAGTACTTACAAAGAAGTTTGAAATGGAAAAATGAAATAACTATCATCTTTTCAGATTTCTTTTGAACTATAATTTAGTTTGATTGAAAATCTTAAGGTTTTTAATTTGGCGATATCTTTGTCAAAATTTTGAAATAGTGAATATTAAACCAAATCGGCAATTTCAGCAGCCATCTATCGAGATTCAATTTCAACGTATTACTTGATAAATTAAATTTTATTCCTCATTCATCAAATATCTCATATATAACTAATTATACATTTACAAGGTAATATTAATCAATTTTTGCTTAAGCAGATATACTCAATCGAGCACATACATATCTTAGTCCGATAGTACAATTTCCTGATCCTTAGCGTGGATTGTACAGATGTTGAACTAAAAACTTGAATTTGTTAACTGGTAGCACCTTATCAATCTATAAATTATCCCTTTTGAAGTTAACCGATTTTTAAGCCATTATCAGCTATATTATCGTTAACATTCGCAACGTTAGAATCCAAATCCAGATCCGGTTGACATTATGAATGATACGCAGGATGTTATCGACAATAATGAAGTAGAAATAAATTTACAACAATCTACATCAGAATCTAATTTTAAACGATATCGTCGTTACAGCAGTGATCAAAGTAACCCATTGAAAATATAAAAAGAATGCAACAGAGAGAGGGAGAGAGAGAAAGAAAGCGAAACAGAAGAAAATGAAACACGTTTACGTTTACGTCTCTCTCGTTTACGTTTACATCTTCAAACATTGAAAACATTTTTGTAATATTGCATTTCTTTTAATTTACGCCAAATTTTACGTGTATGAACCTGTTTACGGCTCTCTCATATTTATCAACGTTAATCAGAATTACTTTCATATTTTCATTAATTTCATTAATATCATTTTGATGTAAGATATCATAAAAGCTTAATTTTCTTTGCTCAGTACCACAACATTAATGTCATATATCAAAGTCCAGAAAAGAGCATCCGTTTTCTCATTTTCTTTAAAGAATAAATTTCAGTATCCGGAAATGCAATAGGAGTGATAATTTAGCATCAAATGGTTCGTCAATTCACATAACATAAAGAATAGCTTTTTTTTATTTTATTTCAATTAGCATACAATTTTTGCCATGGCATCATAAATTCTATTCGATCTTCCAAACATTTCGCAACCGGAAATAGTTTCTTTCTAACTTTGAATGATTCTGGACAGAAAGAATTGGAATAATTTCAGTTCATCATGAATCATTTCGTTTTCATTTTTGTCTCTTCGTTTCAAATTTTTATTTAAACATAAGTTTCATAACATCACAAATTTTTTAGTCCATATTGTTCCTCTTTATATTCTACTTTTTTTACACCTGCATTTGCCATAAATCAAATTTTGAAATTTCAAAACTTTTTTGTAATTTTTTTTAGCTCTATCAGTTAGAGTTTATTACCATAATTTTTTCAAAATAGCATGACATTACAGTTCCACCGTTATTTTTCATTTAAATTAATATAGAAATTATTATATTGTTGAAATGAAATGGTACTTATTTAATTAAAAATTTAACAACCATGCCAGTTTACCTGAAATACCATCATATTTGTCCATGGATCAATATTATGGTTGCTTTAATTGGTATCGTGAATGTCTTCGAAGTATTGCAATCTCAAATGGTGAACATTGTGGTATGGTTTTATCTAATCTAAATTGATAATATTTGATAAAAATTCCCAAATTCCATCTAACAAATAACTTAAATTTATATTCAATAATGGATTGAAATGGGTGATATAAGTAACTTGAAATGGATTGAAATGGATGACATAAGTAACTTGAAATGGATTGAAATGATATAAATTTGATTTGTTATTTTACTCAATCATTTACGCAATATTTATTGCCTAATTTTTGAATAGTTTTCTTTTCTCTCTTTATCAAATTCTTTTTAGATGTAATTCATAAAATTCGACGTCGAAGTTTCTAATAGTAACATTTATTGATTTGAAGTTAATTAATCAAAATGTTTACATTTTAAACTTTATTCCATATTTTATTCTCTAAGCATTTTCATAGTAACAAAGTTATCAATCATTTCATTTCAATAGACGGAAAGTTTAGAAAATAAACTAAATTTTGAAGCATAATACAGCATCTGTTGAACTTTAATTATTTCAAAAATTTTTGATAAATGTAACATTTTCTTTTTATGTTGAAAATTGTAGAAAATTTGACGTATTTTTTTCACCATTACTTTTTTTCTAAATTTAATTTATTCATTAATTGGTACATAAGTTTTTTGCAGTACTTATAATGCATCGACCAAGACGAAATTTTGAAATGGTACTACAAGAAGTATGCATACAACAAACATCACTCGGTAGAAACGATGCGGATTTTTCAACGTACCAATGTAATAATCTAAGAATTATTAAAGCTTGATAATATATCGTATAAAATAAAAAAATTTCTATATTACCAGACGGAGACTATTTGTGATAATTAGCGAAAATTGTTTCAAAATCATAGAATCCATTGAATTATTTATTGCGCGACGTTGTGTTAGACTTTTGTTTATTATATTTTAATTTATTAATTTTATTAATTATCTTATTTATTCCTATATTAAAATTTTTATTAATTATTTCATTAATTTTATTACAATTTTGTTCATTAATTTTATATGCGAAGATTAAAATTAAAAAATTATTTAAATAATTATTTGAAAGAACAAAAAACAAAGAAATCCTTTTTAAGAAAGTAATGAACAAGTGGAGAGATATTTAATTTCAATTAAATTGAAATAGGTGAGAAAATTTTTAAATGTAATAAAAATGAAATTAAAGATTGAAATATCTGTCATTTATTAGTTTTAATTAAATATTCCTCCACTTTTCATTACTTTCTAAAGAAGAGCTAAGTGAACAACAAATTCAATAATTATATCTAATTCTTCTTTCCGGAAAATTTTAACTACATTCAAAAAACCGGAAAAGCATTATATTCCTATAATAATAATTTAAATCGACTATTTTTTTGAAATTTCCTAAAATTTTATAAAAATTTCAGTTCTGTAAATAATACTACTAATCAATTACTGTAATATTCGGAAAAATAACACTACTAATCAATTACTGTCCATCCGAACTACTAATCAAATTCCGAAAATAATATCACTAATCAATTACTGTAATATCCGAAAATAATACTACTAATCAATTACTGTAATAATAACAAGTGATGAATTTTTCCAACAAGAAAAAACGGATTCACGATGATTTGATTAGATCATCAACCGATATTAATGAAATTAACGAAAAATTTCCAAAATTAAAATGCTTAATAGAATTCTTTATAATTTCGCTTAATTAACATTTTTAGTATCATTATCATAATTAATTTCGTGCAATAATTATAGCTAAGATTAATTTAAGCAAAAAAAGGTTGGAAATTTTGAAATTTCCATAAATTATTTTTTCTTTGAAATTTTAAATCTCTTCTTTTTAATGATATCCTTATTTAAAGTTAGATATTTTCATAAAGCGATTATAGCTAAGAATAATTTATGATTATAGCTAATTATAATTATAGCTAAGAGTAATTTATTGTTATGACTAATTTTAGCGAAGAGTAATTTATTGTTATGACTAATTTTAGCGAAGAGTAATTTATTGTTATGACTAATTTTAGCGAAGAGTAATTTATGATTATAGCTGCTAATTATAGCTAAGAGTAATTGAAATGAAAAAGTTTGAAATTTTTGAAATTTCATTAAATCAATTTTTCCTTTTTTATAGGAAACTTTCAAAGGTCATTACAAAGGTCATTTCATTGTACTTTTTGGATTATGATAAAAACTCTTTTTTTCAACTTTCATCAAAAAATCAATGAAAATAATTAAGTTTTCTTTTTTCCAAAATTTTCGTTGCAATTTCCCTCTCTCTCTCTCTTCAGCATTCTCATCATATTTTTGTTAAAAATTTTTTAATTATTTCAATCCATTGTTTATTTTAATAAGTGCATGGTAAAATTATTTCAAATTAGTATTAAAAGTTAGTATTTGAAGAATGGGTAATGTGCAAATTTCAGTATTTGAAGAATGGGATGATATTATAAAGTGTACCATAATTATTTGTGATTGATTCAGAATCTCAAAATTTGAATTTCAGTATTTGAAGAATGGCATGATATTACAAGTTTGCAACATAACTATTTGTGATTGATTCAGAATCTCAAAATTTGAAGAATGGCATGATATTACAAGTGTGCAACATAACTATTTGTGATTGGTTCAGAATCTCAAAATTTGAATTTCAGTATTTGAAGAATGGCATGATATTACAAGTTTGCAACATAACTATTTGTGATTGATTCAGAATCTCAAAATTTGAATTTCAGTATTTTAAGAATGGGATGACATTATAAATGTGCAACATAACTATTTGTGATTGATTCAGAATCTCAAAATTTGAATTTCAATATTTGAAGAATGGCATGATATTACAAGTGTGCAACATAACTATTTGTGATTGATTCAGAATCTCAAAATTTGAAGAATGGCATGATATTACAAGTGTGCAACATAACTATTTGTGATTGGTTCAGAATCTCAAAATTTAAATTTCAGTATTTGAAGAATGGCATGATAACTATACATCCATTCTTTTTTAAAATGTAATTTGCATGCATTTTTTTGAAAACAATTTTGTATGTGAATTGTTTATTCATTCATTTATTTTATTTCTTTATCAAAAGCATAAATAACATTTTATTCAGCACAATATTATAAACCATTTTCAAATGCTATCCAAATCAAATTTTTAACAATAAAAAAATTTAAAAAATAATTTTTCAAATTCCTTTTTTATACCCATTTATGATAACAATAAAAATTTAAGTAAATAAGATAAACAGATTAACAAGAATGACGATTTCCGCGTATTTTTTTAGTGGATTTTTTCGATAATACTCTCAATGTGCAGGCAACATCAAATACCTGAAAGATGAATTTCTTTTTGTTTTAAATTTAAATTAACACAATTTATTGAATGTTCAATTTTATGTTACGCTGCAATTCGATATCATATATTTCGATCATTTGATATATCAGTAACAAAAAAAATTCGATATATTATTTGATTAATTTTCATTTACATTTAAATAGTATCAATTGAATTGTAAAATGATAACATATCGTTGCTAGAAAATAAATTATAATTAATAATAATTATAGTTGCATAAAATAAATTATAATTGCAAACTGAAATTAAAATTTATTTTTGAATATATATCTTTTCTGATATGTTCATTTCATTTCCTTCTTTTTGTTGCTTTTGTTGAAGGTTATACTTGAAGTTTTGTTTTGATTCATATTTGTTTTGAATATTTGCAATACTTTTTAGATTGCTATACTTTTAACTTAAAATATACAACATAATATATATGTATTATATATATGTATTGAGTTGATAAATGTATTGGATAGGTAGATAGGTAAAGTTATTATATGTGTTAGATAAGTAGATAGGTAAAGTTAAAATGATAACTATATAAAAAATAAATAAGTGTTAACAAAATACTATATGTATTGGTTAGGTAGATAGGTAAAGTTATTATATGTGTTGGATAGGTAGATAGGTAAAGTTATTATATGTGTTGGATAGATAGATAGGTAAAGAAAAATTAAAATGATAACTATATAAAAAATAAATAATTATTAACAAAATACTATATGTATTGGATAGGTAGATAGGTAAAGTTAAAATGATTACTACATAAAGAATAAATAAGTATTAACAAAATACTATATGTATTGGATTGGTAGATAGGTAAAGTTATTATATGCGTTGGATAGGTAGACAGGTAAAGTTAAAATGATTACTACATAAAGAATAAATAAGTGTTAACAAAATACTATATGTATTGGTTAGGTAGATAGGTAAAGTTATTATATGTGTTGGATAGGTAGATAGGTAAAGTTAAAATGATTACTACATAAAGAATAAATAAGTATTAACAAAATACTATATGTATTGGATAGGTAAAGTTAAAATAATAACTATATAAAAAATAAATAACTATTAATAAAATATTAAAGTTTAGACTATTTCCATTTTATAAATCACTTTCAAAAAATTAAAATAACAAAATGCACTGTGAGAAGTTTTTAATTCTACTACTACTACTACTACTACTACTACTACTACTACTACTACTACTACTACTACTACTACTACTACTACTACTACTACTACTACTACTATCAAATTAATAAATTATAATTTAAGAAATTTTTGAAAGCAACTAACTTCGGTGACAATATTATTTGCTTCAATTTGTGCTTTATAAATTAATGTTAGATGAATTTTTAAAATTCGAACATTCCATGCGAAATTTTCCATTGCTCGAATTGCTTTCACACCGTGTAAACCAGCATTTAAGCATAATTGCGATAATTCACCACTGCATTCAATAATACATTTCGTTACTGTTTCCAACTAAACTTTTATTTTATTAATTAAATTTTTATTAATTATTTTTTTATTGTAAATAAATGAATATAATTCATGTTAAATGAATAGGTATTAAAATTAATTGAAGTAACAAAATATTACGTATAAATAATTATGATAAATAATGGACAATGACGTTTGCATTATATTATATAATTTAAGCTAACAATGATAAGACGAAAAATAATAATTCTAGATAATTATATAATTTTAGCTAATAATGTTAAAACACAAAATAATAATAATTCTAGCTAATTATATAATTTTAGCTAATAATGATAAAACAAAAAAAAATATGAAACAAATAATTAAATTTAAATATTTTATTTTTTTTTAAATAATTTAAATAATACAATTAATTGAAAAATTAAGTACTTTTTTTCTCAGAAAGGTAAGAAAGAATAAAATTCAAAATTACACAAAATCAAAATGAAACTATTTTTGTTTCAATTTACATCATTTGCTTATTTGTAAACAAACCTTTGTTAACAATGAATCAATATTGTCCAATATTTTTGCACAAATATTCAAAAGTTCGGACATTGAATCAAATGTTTTCTGTAGCTGTACAGGAAATGCACCATTTGTTACAATCATCGGATACTGTAATGAGTACTGTATTGAGTGAATTCTGGATACGATTAGGGAATAAGCTTTTCTTTTTTTTCAAATAATACGATAATGAATGTAGTAATTAAAAATTACATATATGAAAAGAAAGACGACAAATTTCTCTAAAATAATATGAAACAAATAATTAGTAAATATTTGGAATTGTTGCAGTATTTAATATGCAACAATTACTTAAAATGAAATTTCGGAACAATTGAAATTTAAATTAAAGAAGTAAAATTTTAAATTGAACAATTAAAGAACAATTGAAATTTTGTGATAAAAGAATTAAGTCTTTTTATATATTAAATAATTTAAATAAAAAAATCGATAATACTCTTTAATTAATCAAAAAAAATCACTAATAACAAATTTTCGATTTTTAGCCCTTCAATGTAAAGAAAATAGAAAATTGTTGGTAAATTTATATAAAATTTATATTAGAACTATTTATAAAAAATATGCATAAATATGAATAAAGGATGTTAGTGAATAAATTAATTAATTAACAATTATCAAACTTTTTGGTTGTATAATATCAAAAATTGGTACTTTCAATTAAAAATATTCAAATTTGTTTGTTTATTTAAAAAGATTTCCCCACAGTAATATAATTAATAATATCAATTTTTGATATTAAATATTCAAATTAGAAATGAGATGAATTTTAATCAGATTTAAATCAAAAATCTGAAATCCAAATTATCGTTTTTAACTGTTGCAAAATTAAATTCGCATCGCATAATTTTTACATTGCAACTGTTAAATCGAATTCTATTTCCATATAAAATGCGATTATATAATAATTATGTGATTATTTGTGATTATCTTAATTATTAAGCTTTTCTAGAAATTTTCCAAAATGATTTAATTATATCTGAGTAGCATACGGTTTTCTCATCGCTGCATATCGCAAAACTTGGCAAATTGTTCATCAATTCGATTGGATGATGAGATCCGTGCGGTAAATCCGGAGATATTGCTATAAATATATCATTTGTATATTTTGATCAAGATTAATTAACTAATTTAATAATAAAATAATTTCGAGGCTAAGAGATTTGAATTAAAATTATTTGCATACATTTTAAGACTATCTTAACATTTTTTAGATTATTGATATCAAAAAATTTAAAAATCGAAATATAATAAAGATGAATATGAAATTTATCAAATCTAATTGTTAAATTATTATTCCATTTAATTTGCTCATTTTTAAAATTACCAAAGTAAACTTTGCTTATTTCTTAGTTTGGAAGTTATCTATGGAAATTATTAAGAAGTAAGAAAAAACAATCAAATTTTATCTCTAATTAATTAATTACATTTTAACTTTTTCAAATGAATTCTAAAAAAATATTTGAAATGTTAAATTTATCGTATCTTTATCGTTTTTTATTTTTCAGAAATTTTGAAATGAAATTAAATTGATGAAATGTGGTAGCAAATAATAAAAATGAAACAAACTATTCATTGTAGCCGTTTTTGCTCGTGCCAGCATAAGTCGTAAACCTTTTCTTATCGTACCAGATGATCCAATACCACAATCACTTCGCCATTTAATCTATAAAAATTTGCTTCATTAAAATTTTTGAAATTTCAGAATAATTTGATTTAAATAGTAAATATGTTGAAAATGTTTCAGTACAATTTGATTTATTCCCCCCCCCCCTGTATCATTAATTATATTATCCTTATTCACGGTTTATCGTAGTAAATTAAACAAACCAAAGTGGATTCAAGTATGCCACGCATTTCAGTTAATATAGCTAACGGTGAAATAGCTTGATTAAAACAATCATCCACCGATTTAATACCAGTCAATTTTAAGCCATCAAAAATTTGTATATTTTTCCTTTTCACTGACATATCTCACTTCTGTGTTTTCTGAAAACTTTGATGAAATTTCAGATAGTACCCTGTATGCAAAATAATTCTAAAATCAAATCTTTTAAATTCGAAATTATTTTATCATTAAATTAATTAATTATTCCTCGTTAAAATTATACAAGTAATATATTTATAGCATCAACTCTGAATTTTCCTCACGGATCCGATCATCCAACTTTTTCTTTTTGTTTCATTTAATTAGTTCAGTTTTCGATTATCAATGAACACTTTGTTTTATCATTTTAAAGATTTCAAAAGAACTCTTAATTAATCAAATAAAACAATTAGTTTTCTAATTTTTGAAATGTTTTGAAGCAATTTTGAAATTTGCAAACAAAAAATTTAATTATTCTGTAATGGAAAATTAGGTATTGTATTCATTAAAAAATATTAATTATTTTCAATGAATAGTCACTTTTCAAAATTTGCAATAATTTAGACAAAAATCATTTTTACTCATATCTGAGAGATTTATTTAATTTATTTCGCTTAATTATATTAACGATTAATATTAATTAGCATAATATTAGGTGTATAAGTGATAATTTCGTAAAGTGAATAAATAAGTAAATAAATAAACAACTAAAGTAAACGGATCGGTATATGTAAATAGTAACAAGGATGAAAATAAATAATTAAGTTAATCAAATCAAACAGTATTTTATAATTCAAAAAATTATGCTTCAACTTTTTACACCGTATCCATTCTTGTTTTTTATTGCAAACTATATAATATAAATAATAAAAAGAATTACATGCATCTTATCAATTTGATATATTTATGTGTATAATCAAAGTAATTACTTAATGAAACAATAATAAACAATAGCTTATATCGTATCCATTCTTGTTTTTATTGCAAACTATATAATATAAATAATAAAAAGAAATACGTGCATCTTATCAATTTGATATATTTATGTGTATAACCAAAGTAATTACTTAATGAAACAATAATAAATAATAGCTTTTGCAAACTATATAATATAAATAATAACAATGAATTTACATGCATCTTATCAATTTGATATATTTATATGATAATCGAAATAATTATTTAGTGAAACGATATAAGCAATATCGTATCCATTTTTGCTTTCATTACAAATTATATAATTCTAATATTAATCAAAGAATTACATGCATCTTATCAATTTGATATATTTATATGATAAACAAAGTAATTACTTAATGAAACAACGAATAAACAATAGCAACAATTATTTTCATCATCTTAAAAACAAAAACAAAAAAAAAAAACGATTGAATGCTAAAATTGTTTCGCAAAAAGAAAGAAATAAAGAAGACGAAGTGGAAAACTTATTCATAAATTTTATTATTGAAACAATAAGAAAACTTTTAGGGAAGATAAACAAGCTGGTTGATAATCCTCTTGAGATGTTTGATGAGATCTTCCATCTTTCCTAAATTAATATTCCTCTTTTTTTCAATGCTTTTTTGAATATTCTTATCGCTGTAGAACTAAAGTGAAAAATTTGCGGAATAATTTTGTTGAAAATAATTTCAAATTAAATTATTACGCTTGAATGATTAGAATATTTTTAATTTTTAAATTTAATTATTTCGGTATAAATTAATTAATTAATTTTAAATTTTAATCAAATTTGTATGCTTTAACCAAAATCAGCTTATATTTATTAGTTTAAAATTGTTTTTGATCTTAATTTTTTTTTCCGGAAAATGGAGCTTACTCCATTTTCCGGAAAAAAAAATCGAAATTTTCAAATTTTCGAAGTAATTTTTTTACCTGAAAAGAATCGAATAATTTATTTTTCCTGAAAACGGAGCTTATTGTTTTCCTGAAAGGGGTCGAATAATTTGTTTTTCCTGAAAACGGAGCTTATTGTTTTCCTGAAAAGGAATCGAAATTTTCAAATTTCAAATCGGCAATTTTAGCAAATAGCAAAAAATAATAGGCAGAAAAATTTGTTCGAAATTATTTTGCTGATTTAAAGCGATATTGTTTAAATGTTTTATTTATGACTTAGCATCAACAAGTCATTAAGATTTACTTCACCAATAATTAAGTCATTAAGATTACCTTTACGCTATAATATTATTAAATATCTTCAAGCTTACTTAGCACCAAAAATTCTAAAAAATAAAAATCGAAATCTTTCTCTCTCATTCTTCTCTTCCTTTTTTTTTGTTACGAAATTTAAATATTCGTCATTTTTAGGCTTTCGAAAGACATAGTCCATTGAAGTACCATTGATGAAATTATCATTGAGTACCACAAATTTATCAATGCTATTTCTGGTATAGTAATTTCAAATTGCAAACGATTCATTGAATAATGAATTAACACCTGAAATATTTTCCATTTTTTTATTAATTAAAAAAGTTAATGATGAAGAATATTTGAAGGATAACATATAACAAAGGAATATTTCAATACCCTAAAATTGTCTCAAAAATTTAATTTTATTTTCTGTTGAAAAAAATATTTGAACATCTTTATTAATTTTTAATCAATAAATATTAATTAATTTATTAGGTGGTTTTAAACTTTCGTCAGTTTTAAAATTAAAATAAAATCTTTGATATTTGCTACATTCATTCTTTCCCCTTACTTATTCATCATTCTTGACAGTTCTCGTTCTTCCTTCGGTACAATCAATTGAACATTCAATATTTCCACTATCACATATGAACTTATTGAATTACCTTTGGCTATTAATAATCTACGATCTTCTTTGGCTATTGATCTATGGTTATTGTCTAGGCCAAAGTAGCCCAGTTGGTCGGATAAAATTCGTAAATATAAAATCTAAAAATTTTCAAATATATGGGAAAAGGAAAACATCAGCTAAATTTAAAATTCCACCAAATTGCATTATGAACTTTTTGCTAATTACCAGTAAATAATACTGTTTTAATAATTTTCATTCTAATTACTAGTAAATATTACGATTATAATAATTACTCTCATTTTATTGTTCTTCCATTATTTTCTCTTATTGTTTTATTGTTATAAATTCTGTTATAATAACTACTCCCATTTTATTGTTCTTTCATTATTTTCTTGTTTCATTGTTATTGTTCCTCTCTTATTGTTTTATTGTTATAAATACTGTTATAGCAATTACTTCCATTTTATTGCTTCCCCATTATTTTCTCTTATTGTTTTATTGTTATAAATACTATTATAATAATTACTTCCATTTTATTGCTCCCCCATTATTTTCTCTTACTGTTTTATCGTTATTGTTCTTCCATTATTTCCTCTTATTGTTTTATTGTTATAAATACTGTTATAATAATTACTCCCATTTTATTGTTCTTCTATTAATCCAAAACAATAAAACAATTTTTTCTTATCATCTCATCATTTTATATTATATTTCGCAACATTGTTTAATATTTCAAAAATTAATTTAAAAAAAGTTTTTTAAATTTTAAGAAAATTTTTGGAAAAAATTCTTTTTCTTATATTTATGTCACTTTTGAATTTTAATTTTACATTTGACATTGATATCTGTCAAAAGAAAAAAAATATTTTTTTCAAATTGTTTTATTTTTGTCTTTTCAAAAATATTAAAATTAACTTCTGATGGAAATGACATTATATTGCCAGCTATATTGGAAACATTCTTCATCCATTTATTAATAGCTTTGAGAATACAACAACCACATCTGCCATTTTCCCAAAATTTCCCTTTCTAAAAAAAAACATTTTTATGATATTAGCATTGATAATAACATCATTTGCTTATTATCCATTTACATAGAATTTAGCATATTAATTATATATATAATTAATTCTATGTAAATAGATAATAAGTACATATATATATATAACAAACGTTAGAATTTAACTTTTCAATAAATAAAAACGAACTTGTGAAATCCAACATAAGTCCGAATATTTGATAATTTAATGAAACCATTTGAATATCATAATTACAGTATTCTTGGAAATTCATAATTGATGAATCATTACTCTAATAATCAAACACTTGAATTAGTCATCATATATTTGAAATGTTTTTGTTAGTTGGAATTAAATTTAAATCAATATAATTAAAAAAATATTCGTATTTTCATATTTTTTCAACAAATTTTATAAAAATAAGTACCAATGATATAATCTCATTTCCTTTCAAATGATTATTAAATAAATTAATTAATTATAAAGAATATGCTAGTAAACCATTTTAAGCATAAAATTAAAAATGATAATTGAAAGATTATCTGCTGTTAAAAATCATAATTGAAAGATTTACCTTTTGTTTAATCGATTTTTATAATATGTTTTAAATGAATTAATTTCTAATTATTAAACATATCAATATTATCAAATAAATCAACTATTCAAATTATAACAAAACAAAAATCGATTAAACAAAGTGATATCGTAGTGATAATAGAAGAAGAATTTTTGTATTAATATTCTGAAATTTCAAACAAATAAATTCAAACTTGAAAATCGATAAACTCATTAAATAGATAAATTTTAAAATTTAGCAAAGAAATAGGAAATAAAAATTTAACATATACCTATAAATGCTTGATCCGTTTTCCAAGAAGGTACTTCAAGATTTTTCAAATCCTGTTGCAAAATCCTGATAAATAACAAATTAAATATTATTTCAAATTAAATTACCTGTAATTAAGTGTGATTCATCCTTTTTTTTTACTGTAGAAATTAAATGATTAATTCATTTCAAATGCAATAGACAATTTATTGTCATGAAACAAAGAGAAATAACAAATTAATTCACCTTTAATTTAGTATGACTCATCCTTCTTTTTAACTATAAAAATTAAATGACTAATTCATTTCAAATATTTATTTCAAATGCAATGAATAATTCATTATCATAAAACAAAGAGAAAAAAGTGATGGAAAATAAAAATTATTCAAAAATTCGAATTATAAATTCTTCAAGGACGAAAAAATAGAACTAAATAACAATTGCAATAATAAATTATGTAATAAACTTTGCAAAATTTCA